GTTCAATAAACTCTCATTCATGCATAAGTTAGTAATGCTAATGGAACATTCATAGCAATTGCAACCTCTCACATTCCAAACGGATTAAACAGTGTCTCTAAGTGTTCCTATTGGAACATTCATATTCATAGCAATAATCCCTTTTTTCTTCATTTACAGTATACATTTGCAATTTATTAATGGTATTTTATAAGAAAAAAAAATTTCAAGCCAAAATGCATTAGTAATTCATCAAGGTATCTTATAGATTTTTCGTGTTGTTATTGAGTATACAACAGATGCTGTAGCAATAGAAAGTAAAGGATTCAACACAACGGTAACAATTCAGACATCAATTAAAAAGTTCTAGCTACAAGTTCCACCAATTTCATACCTTATGAGTTGTTATTAGAGTTTTAAAAAGATCCTACAAGTATGACATTCATCATTTTTTTTCCTGATATGTTGGTATTAAATGAATTTTTTGCTGTTACATATTTCTTTTTTATTGAATAAAGTTATTGAATAATCGTCTACCATAAATATGATTTCCTTTGAGTTTGTTGTCTTTACGAATATGATATGTACCTTTAGACACAAGAGAATGCATGATCCTGCACACTCTAACTTGGTCTAATTATTATATGAAAAGTCTCTATGTGCAGTGCGCATAATACTAGAAATTGTTAAAAAGGATCCAAGAACTTAAATCATCAAAAGCTATTATGAATTACTTTGTTTCTTTATATATGTACAAGGACTTTCCATTTATATGATTTATTAACAGAATGAAGCTGCTTCCTTCACTGATATTATACTTCAAAGTAACACGCCACTTTATATGAAATCTTAAAGTCTACTAATCATGCATGTCAAACCCCATCAATTATTTCATAACATGTGAAGATGTCCCTAAATGCATATAGATGTTGGACATTCAACTGAATATCTCTGAATTTCTCGATAGTACATTAAACATGTAGAATATTGTTTAGGGTAATATAGTGTAACATAAAGCAACCATTTTTAGTTCTCAATAAAAGATATCAAAATTTAGCTATATTAGAAACTCACTTTCTCTTATATTGATGATATCAAAGAAATCAACAGTATTTGATATATTGTATTGTTAAGACTATAGCTTGCCACTGCAAGCAATATGAAGACTTACCATCGACAAAGTATTACTTTTTCTCATAAAATTTGAATTTTGTGATATGAGTTTGTTTAAATTTCTTAAGATTATTGCATGGTGAACTTTATTTCAGAAGATATGGGAGGCTATTTTTTTACAGCTAGAAGTATCACACACAGTGTAAAGATGTATGGAGATCTTTGTTTATACGCCAAATTTTTTGTTCAGAAGAAGGAGAAAGATGTAAAAAGTGAGAGGGATGGAGGAAATTTATTATCAATAGTTATTATATATTGCTTGATGACATTATATCTAACACTTGATCTTTTGAACTTGCTTTAGGCATATAAAGAAATTCATGCTCTTCAAGGAAGAGTTGGAAATATGCCATGAAGATCTCGAGAAGTTTAATTACCAATTACTTACAAAGGTAAGTAGATAAACTTATAATCCCTGCTATTTTATATTCTTTCTCTTATTTAAAACTCAAGTTGAAGATTTTGCTAGGAATTGTATTTTTCTTTATTATTTATTATTTATTATTTATTCTTTTTAATATGGACTGTTAGCATTTTCTTGATTTAAGAGAAAAAATGTGAAATGTGAATATGCATTTTTTCTTTATTTAAGTTTTGTGAGTTCGTGGAGCTATCATGAATTATACAATACATGTTGCAGCTCCGATGGATTATAAAATATATGTTACAGCTATAGAATGAAAAGGATTGAGCAAGCCTATGAGAATTTGATCATCAATTATGAACTTATAGCTGCAAGTTCTAACATTTTCATATATACAAATTTAACTAAAGTGTCATGCGTTTAATTATTCTATTCAAATATTATAAATTATTGTAATTATTTGTTATTCAGTTAATGTTTCATAGTTATTAATAATTTGTTGGCAATAAGCCCAGAACTGTCTAATATTAGAATATTACCAAGTTGATTCGATCCACATTTTACAATTGTCAAAATTTTTTGCTAATATTCAATCCTATTCCTAAATAAATAGACACATTTATACTGAAATTAAGATGAGTGAGAATGATGATCTCATTGTAACTATTTTAGGCTCCTTTATTTTAATTTTTATTATTTCTAATTTAGTGGTTTGTAAATTCTAACATTTTGGTGCTAAAAGATACTAAAACTTCATCATAGTTGAATTACTTAGACATGCTCAAAAGGAATTTTGTAGTGCACAAAATGTGAGTGCGTTGAAAGAAGAATTAAAATTGAATTTGACAATTCAATTTACTATAATAAAAAGGTACAATTATCATGAAGTTACCTTATATTTTCATGTATCACAATGTCTAATCTATTGATTTTAACTATTAAATGATGATCGGGAATAATTGAGTTTCCGTTGGTCGTATGCCAAGATTTTGTATTATAAACAGAGTTGTTGAAGGGGAAGTTAAAACGTATCGACATGAAAATATATATAGTCATAACTCCTCATCCCATCGGAGTGGTTGATCCTTAAATAAAATACAGTTTTTACTCATTAATGTGGAAAAATTCTCTTTTAAAAACTAAGATTGTTCCTCATTAGTAGTTTCAATGCATTTTAATTCAAGAAGGTGCTGCAAATCATGTCCATGATTGTTCTCCTTTGTTTCTATCTTCAACATTGATTTAATTTCTTAATAGGAATCCTTTTTGATCAATTTCATCAGTTATGAAGTATGAATATCACAAAAAATTTATGTGCAATTTGATTGACTATGTCAGTTGTTTTTTTCCAACTCTCTCATGACAATCTCAATTGTTTCAACTCTTTATCCTTTAATATGTAGCCGAGCTTCTCAGAAATCAAAGACCTCACAAAAGCAATCCTCAGAAGAAAACCATGTAATAGGAGGAAGAAATATTGCTAATTATTTGGAGGTTTCATTTCATTTGTTTTTGTATTCTTTTTGTTTACTAAGTATTAAAATGCTTTATACTCCATTTTTTTCTTTTAGGAACCTGAACCTTGAGCATATAAACTGATATATATGCCATAATTTTATATTCTTTTGCCATAATTTATGTGCTAATTTAATTTTGATACGAATGATATTCCTTTTTTTTTGTTGGCCAGGTTTCGGTTTTTAGGCTTCATGGTCTTCTCATCAATCTAGCTGCATCCTTCTCAAATCAGATTTATGTTGTTTTCCAAGTAGAAGTTGAAATTAGAATAAATCGAATATTTAGATACCCATGGTTTCTTATTACTCTTAGAATAATATCATAACAACTTTTATTTAACTATGTTCTTAATTAACAACTATGTCTTTTAATGTTGTTCCTTTTCTACTATAATTCCTACATATATAAAATTTAAAATTTTAGATTTTCTTCTTTTGGCTTTGGCATGTTCCTTGCAATTTGGTTGCATTAATAATTAAGTATATCCAAATCTGTCTCTTTTATATTTTGCGACTAATGTTAAATGATTGTTGATGCTATGTCTTATTGCGGAAAATGCAATCTCGTTATCAGTATTCTTTGGAGCCATGACTTTGAAACCTGATGCTGCAATCTTTTATCCTTAATGACTTCAACTAACTCATCAGTTGCCACGTTGTATGTCATATCTTTAAGACAGTTAGATGTTTGTGTTTCGAGCCATCAATCTCCTAAGAATCAAAGTGTTATACTTTCAAGTTCAAGAATCAAAAACTCAACCATTACTCTCTATTAACTAGGCAATAAGTCACAATAGACATGTGTGCCTATCAGCACAAGGGAATAATTTATAGCAATTTCATGTACGTGTCATATGGGAAATTTGTTTAAACATAAAGTTTAATATGCTTTATGATTTTAATTGTACAATAATAATATGTAATTAAAACTAAGAGGAGGGGTGTTTCAAGTGCAATGATAGAAAAGAGGCGAGGGTCGTGCTTGGCACGAGGTACATACTAGTGGTTTCTACATCAAAAGAGAACTCTTTAAGTAGTAAACATGTAAGGAAAAATATGACAACGTGCTAGAAAATAATGAAAACACCTGAGGTAAAATATGCACTTGATATTATTAGGATATATACACTAAAATCGCGATAACGCATAGCGTAACGCTTACCTCCGGTTAAGTTACAATAGCGATAACGCATAGCGTAACGTAGGTTAAATAATTTATTATTATTTAAATAATTTATAGATATATAACATTCAAAATAAAAAATATGAATAATCATCGCAATTCTCAATTTCACAAATCAATATACCATCAACAATATAAGAGACGGCCAAGAGATAGCATATATGCATTAAATAACCATCGGATGTCCACAGAGGCTTCAAATAGACAAGGTGAGTTATCTTTAAGGGGTTGTTTGGATTCATTTTTTAGATAGGTAAAATGGGGGAAAGCTATCAAAAATGTCAGCTTTTTCGCAGCTTTCCCCCAAAATCACCTTTATAAAAGGTGATTTTGGGGGAAAGCTGCGAAAAAGCTGACATTTTAGACAGCTTTCCACCCTTTTACCTATCTAAAAAATCAATCCAAACAGCCCCTAACTTTATCATGTTATCTATTACTTAAATAAATAAGTTATCAGAGATATGGATGATATCTTATCACATTTAGATATTTCAAATTTTCAATAGAACGATATAGACTGACAACAAAATAATTGTTTGATACTCAGCGATAAATGTATGCAGGAGACATAAAATAACAGCTGCGTATTAAACACCATTCACGATTCTAATCAGTAGCAAAGAGAAAAGCTTTGATTTGAGCTCCAAAATAGCAAAAAAAAAAAAGAGGAAAAAAAATCCAGCTTAAAACACACAAAGTTCCTAAAAATAGACCTTGCAGGAAAAGTGTCATCTTTTTCTTCAAAAAAATAAAAATAATAACAGTACCAAGATGAAATTTTTACCTGATGGCCGGAAAACAGCTGGTGGTATTCTTGCGAGCGAGTGGTTTTCCGATGGAGAGGATGGGATCAAGATTTGGGAGTGAAGGAAGATGGAGGCGATCTCTCCAGAGTGATTTTCCGCGGGAGAGAGAGACCGCCGCGAAGCTGTTACGTTACGATGGAGAGAGAGAGAGGGAGATGGAGGCGATCTCTCCAGAGTGGTTTTCCGATGTGGGGAGAGAGAGAGAGAGAGAGAGAGAGAGGGAGATCCAGGAGAAGGGGAGGGCTTCGTCCGCGTTCAAGAGAAGATGGGAAGCGACGGGTTAGATCTGAAGAAAGAAAAAGAAATTTGGGCAAATTTTCAAAAACAACCCCCTTTCAACATTTAATCCCAAAAAACGACCTATTTTGCATTTAATTTCAAAACCCGACTGGTTTCAGCCCTGGCGCTGAAACCATGTCGGTTTTTGAAAAAAAAATTCCGCAACTTCACGGGAGTTGAACTCTCGTGAAGTTTAGCAGGTTTTTAACAATATGCTAAAACTTCACAAGAGTTCAACTCCCGTGAAGTTTGTAACATACCAAAAGCTCCACGTGAGTTAAACTCTCGTGGAGTTTCAGTCCATTTTCCAGAGAGCCAACTCTCGAAAAAAATTTGACTGCAACTCCATGGGAGTTCAACTCCCGTGGAGTTGTAGACGCCTATTTAAGGCCCAACCCCGTATTCACTCATCCCGCACCCCTCCTCACTCGTTCCCAAACCGAAAACCCTGACCTCTCTTAATCGGTCCCCACCGCCACCAACTCCGCCACCGCCGGTCCCCACCGCTGTCGCCGAATCCCCCCTGCTGGCGGTCATCATCCTCACCGAAGTCATCATCCTCTCTCACCCGTTCCCAAACCGAAACCCTAACCCTCTCTTCACCGTTCCCCACCGTCGCCGGTCTCCACCGCTGTCGCCAAAGTCCCCGCCGCCGGCGGTCATCATCCTCACCAGAGTAGATTGTTCTCGCCGCCGTCATCGCCGAAGATTACCTGAAATTAGGAAAAATTTAAGGTAAAATCTTTTAAAAAAAATTTCCTCCTAAATTCTTGTATATTCTCACTATATCACGATGATTACTTGGAAAAAAATTAGATTTTAGAAATTACTTGTGAATTATTTTTGTGAAGAAAATTTAAATAATTTTGTGTATTTAAAAAATTAGATTTTAGAAATTACTTGTGAATTATTTTTGTGAAGAAAATTTAAATAATTTTGTGTATTTAGAGGGGAAATTATCAAAAAATACTTGTGAATTATTTTTGTGAAGAAAATTTAAATAATTTTGTGTATTTAGAGGGGAAATTATCAAAAAATATAAATGTTAGTTTCACTACATATGTTTGATATTGATATATGAATTTGGTTAAAATTATGGGTTTCTAAAATTGATACGATAGGATTTAATGGTAAGTAACATTTTTTAAAGTTTTTTCGTGTAATATTGATCGTGAATTTTTTACTCTTCAAAGGTAATGATGAACGATCGAATCGTAATTCTTTGTTCATATGATGGAAAGATTAACTATCTCGAAAATAATATGCCCGTTTATGAAGGAGGTGTGACGAGACCGTTGTTTATAACAAAATCATGTACTTTCGATGAATTGGTTAATGAATTACATAAACTTACATTAACCAACTCACGTGAGTATCACCTCAATGTTATTTGCAATTATCTTGTTGCGGGAAAGAGAACAAGCGGCGTTCAAATATCAAGTGACTATGATATGGGGCTCATTGGAGTGTTACACGGCGAGGGGCGTTCGATTGAATTGTTTATTGAAAAACATCAGAGGAATTTGAACAAATTGTTGAATAACAACAGAATGTACTCCCGCATATTGGAGGACCTTGAAGTTGACTTCGTCGGCTTTTTATCTCCGCAACAAGATGAAGGTTAGACACAATCATAATACATGAGCGGTCCTTCGATGGTGGACACTTCAAATGCTTTCGATACTAACACGGTCCATCAAGAAGATAATGCAAGTGTCGAATCTGAGAATGATGATAAAAATGACGGTTTACAAATTAATAGCATGACGATGATAGATCGTGATGAAGGGGACAACCAACACATTGACGGATGTTATACTAATAATGAGTATGTTGTCTTAGAGGATCCGCCACCCGATGAACTCCAAGGAGAAGAATTGATTGATAACTCCATGATGGAAAGTGTTCCTATTGGCACTAATAGCGGTGATGCTGCACAGGATTTCTCATTCATGAAGGGGGATCTTTTTGAGAGTAAGAAGAAATTGATTCATGCGCTTCGCTCGTATGCCATTGCCAAAAATGTCAAGTTTAGGCCAACAAAAAATAACACAACAAGCTATAATGTGGTTTGTTTTTATTGCAAAGATGGTGAAGACGAAGATAATGATGGACACCACGACGGCAATGCGAAATGTGCTTGGAAGCTTAATTCACGTTCGGGTGTAGAGAGTAGGTGGGCATTTCAAAATCACGGCATACAATAGACTCCACACATGTAGCAATCCTCGATTGGAGATGAATAACAAGCATGCGTCCTCTTCTTTTATATATCGATTGATTTTACCGCATCTAAGGGAGGATCTTGATCTAAGGCCGAAAGATATTCATTTTTTAGTGTATAAAGCGACCAACTTAGATGTATCATACAACAAGTGTTGGAATGCTAAGAGGAAGGCGATGATAAAAATATTCGGGGATTGGGACAAATCTTATGAGATCTTACCACATTATCTTGAAGCACTCAAAAGAGAAAATCCTAGGACTGTCTATGAAGTTTCATCAGACCTTGTTGATGGTGGAGAACGACGGTTCACAGGTGTATTTTGGGCATTTGGTCCCTGTATTGAGGGTTTCTAATATTGTCGCCCTCTTCTTAGCATTGATGGCACCCACTTATACGGTAAGTACAAAGGGACAGTTTCCTTTGGTATACAGGTATAATTGTACATACAATTTTATTCAACTGAATTTGAACTCATATATTATTTATGCCAAATAGCTATAACGTGCGGTATGCTAACTACAAATCAACGACGTGACATCGTGAGTTTTATCGAAATGAGCTTGATGTCCTCCAACACGAACATGTAAATATAAAACTGGATTCGTTATGAATATTATAGTTTTGTCGTTGATACTGATAAATGTTTTATCTTATTTCAGTTCAAGTGGAGACCCTAGTCACCGCCGGAGCTCGATATGCATACTCTTTCACCTATTTGTCGAGATGGTCCCGACTTGTGGAGAGACAGAGTTCCATTAATATGTTGGGAGATTGTGGAGATGCATGTCCCCAACCGTGTGCTACGGTAATTTCTACTCTTTCAGCATGTGCCAGAGCCTGTCGAGCAGATCGATCGTCGGCGATGACCTACATCACACCGTACCGACTGGGGCGTAGTTCGTGTGGCCTACATAGATAGGTGGACTCACATGTGGGATTTTATACAGGATACAAGAGACACAACTGTTGACTATACCGTGTATATGCGTTGGTATTGGAATATCAGACGTAGATGGATCACGCGTGACCTACAGCCATCAGCTGGACACATGCCACGCCCACCGACAGATAGTTGCATCCCTAGTGGGATGATCGAGAGAGATTATGTAAGTTTCTAAGCTACATTATAACATTTTTATTGAGTTGGTACTTAATAAATTGTTTACCTCGCAGATCCGTGCTTTTGATAGCATTGAAGGTGACATTAATGTGCACATGCTTGAGATTCAGGATTCGGTTGCGTTAGCACTCATTAGTAAGATCAAGAAGACAATAGCACAGATGTTTCATAAGACTCACGTCGACGAGTTTGCAGGCCGTGAGGACAGGTCTTGATCATTTGGGCAAGCGTACACGCAACGACGATGGCCACGTGACGATGAAGCCGGCACTTCGCATGCTGATGGAGCCGACACTTCGCATGTTGATGGAGCCGGTACTTCGCGGCCTTATACACAACCGGATACTCAGATATTCGAGGCTGATCAGCAAGAACGCAAGGAGCGGGGAAGAGCGAGGGGGAGGGGGAAGAGAGGGAGAGGAAGGAGAGGATCTATTTTGGGTTGTAGTGAGCTTATTTTGTCAAAATTTGTAACTTTTATGAATTTTCAAATACTATACTTTTGTGGATCAATTATTGTTTATATATGTACTCTTTATGAGTATTGTTTGATTCGTGTTTAATTCATGGTAGAATTATGTATATGTTGTTGTAATTCAATGTATATGAGATCAATTATTGTTAACAGGTAAATATAACATATATGAGGTACGTTACGTACAGAACATGCACAGGCTACTGTGCATGTTTTGTAAAACCTACAACTCTTCGGGAGTTGAACTCCCATGGAGTTGCAGTCAAAATTTTTTCGAGAGTTGGCTATCTGGAAATTGGACTGGAACACCACGGGAGTTCAACTCCCGTGAAGTTTTTGGCATGTTACAAACTTCACGGGAGTTGAACTCCCGTGAAGTTTGTTCAACAAATACAACTTCACGGGAGTTCAACTCCCGTGAAGTTTGTTCAATCAACAAAACTTCACGAGAGTTGAATTTCCATGATGTTTTAGCAGATTATTAAAAATCTGCTAAACTTCACGGGAGTTGAACTCCCGTGAAGTTTCGGATTTTTTTTTCAAAAACCGACATGGTTTCAGCACCGGGTTTCAGCACCGGGGCTGAAACCAGGTCAGTTTTTTAAATTAAGTGCAAAAGAGGTCGCTTTTTGGGATTAAATGTTGAAAGAGGTTTGTTTTGAAAATTTGTCCAAAGAAAATTAGATGGAGGCGCTTTAGTTTAGGGTTTTGTTGAATGTAAAAGTAACTCAATCACAACCGTTCATTTTTTTAAAAGCAATCCAAGCCATTGACAAAATAACCTAATCTATAAAACGTTACACCGTTACGTTATGTAACGTGCGTTATGGATAAAATAATGCACGTTATTTTGTTCTTGCGTTATTTTCTATCGTTACGTAACCTAAGCTTAACATTACGTTATGTGTTATTTTGCGTTACGAAACGCGTTATTTCCTACACTGGGCTAACTGCATATGGACCTCCTTAGCATCATTGTTTTGAACTTTACTATTTTTAGTTATGTAACGTGCGTTATGGATAAAATAATGCACGTTATTTTGTTCTTGCGTTTTTTTCTATCGTTATGTAACCTAAGCTTAACATTACGTTATGCGTTATTTTGCGTTACGAAACGCGTTATTTCCTACACTGGGCTAACTGCATATGGACCTCCTTAGCATCATTGTTTTGAACTTTACTATTTTTAGTTTGAGCTTTGCTACAGGGACCCAAAATAAGGGACCAACACTGGGGATATGTGAGGTGTCCCCCTCTTATTGCATAATGAGCTGACCATCATTAATGATGACCAGCTCATTATGTAATAGGAGGGGGACACCTCACCTGTCCCCCTATTGGTCTCATATTTTAGGTCCTTAATGAATTTTTTTTAGTTTTATTTGTACAATAGGAGGGGGACTCCTCATCTGTCCCCCCTGTTGGTCCCATATTTTAGGTCATTGAGGAATTTTTTCTTTTAGTTTTATTTAATGGCCAACTCATTATACAAATAGGAACGCACCTCACATGTCCCCTCTGTTGGTCCCATATTTTAGATTCTTGGGGAATTTTTCTTTTAGTTTTATTTTGATAGACTCCTAGATTAATTTTCTTTATGACTCTTGTTACCCTCGATGAAAAACACTTGGCAAACATGTGAGACCATGAAAGAGGCAAATACCTTACTCAAACAATACTTACAATAACTAGATCCTCCAAATTCCAATATCTTTTACATCAACTGATATGAAAAAGAAAAAGAAAGGGAGAAAAATACAAAAGCTCTCACTCTTGGGGTAAAGGATGACACATTTATTGACTAGTAAAAACAATAACGAATAGACAATAAAACATGTACACCACGAGCTAGCAGTCTCATTGAGATAAATAACCAGTTAAGGGCAAAAACTGCAATCCTCAAAATTGGACATCCTCCTTACAATTCATTTCCTGGACTGCTCAAGCTCTTGTTGTAAATACACAACACAACCACCTCCTTGTCTACGTTAAAGCAAAACACCTTGTGAGCTTTAGCATGATGACGCTCCTTGTATGTGTCGTGCAGTCATTCCATACCAAAACTTGAATGGTTTTGTGTCTGTGAGAATGTGAAAGAATACGGGGGCAAGGCACACTGAAAATATCGTTGAATGTCATTTGTCACTTTGTGTCAAAATAATATCGACTTGAGAATTAAGAGGACCAGCATGATGAAACACATTATCACAAGGACAGTCGCACACATAATCATCCCTCCTTTCTTCTGTGTTCTTTCGGCCTGCACACATAGAACAGAAATTTAGAAGGGGGAGACTGGACATAAAATTCTGCATGCATTATTTCAAGTATAAGCTGAAGAAAACTTAATACTTCGGAGAAAAAGAATTCACAAAAACATGCATGAAGTAATTGCAGATGCAGACATCAGAGAACATGCTAGTTGTCACTATATTGAATGAGGTTCAAAATCAGTAGGCGGGTTCAGATATCCAGATTCATACTTGGCAAGAAGAAAATATTCAGTTATTTTTCACTCTAGGCAGCTGCTTCAACTGAGGTTGAAGCATGATTGAAGTTTAAAGATTAACAAAATATAGAAACATAGAAATTTTGATAAAAGGGGAAAGACATTACTGACAACTGTAAAGTCTGAACAACATTCGTGACCAAAATTATGCAAGATGAAGACAATATATTAGAATGTGTACAGGAATCATAAGTTATGGGTATGATTTTTTTTTTATTTTTTATTTTGGATAGATTATGGGTATGAAAAATCAGTGTTCCAATCGTAATGTCAACCAGACTCAGGAGTAAGAGCACCAATTTGGTTATAAGTACCCACCGAGTCAGTAACTGCTTATAGGGAAGATGAAAAAAGTATTAAGGACCTTACACAGAGGGAACTAAT